AGTGGTGCTCCTGGTGCTGCGGACCCCAGCGGTGGCGCTGCTGCTGGTGCTGAGGACCCGGGCGTTGGAGCTACTGCTGGAGCTGAGGACCCGGACGGTGGAGCTGCTGCTGGTGCTGAGGACCCGAGCGGTCGAGCTGCTGCTGGTGCTGAGGACCCGGGCGTTGGAGCTACTGCTGGAGCTGAGGACCCGGACGGTGGAGCTGCTGCTGGTGCTGAAGACCCGAGCGGTCGAGCTGCTGCTGGTGCTGAGGACCTGGACGGTGGAGCTGCTGCTGGTGCTGAGGACCCTGCCGCTGGTGTCGCTGCTGGTTCTGGAGACGCTGCGCGGCCGCGACCGTACTTCGTACCACTTCTTCAGCAGGTTCTTGGTCAGGCTCCTCCTCCTTGTCCTCCTCCCTCCGTAGCGTGTCCTCCGCCTGTCCAGTCGCAGTCACAGTTACCGCCTGCCTCGCCTCTCCCTGGTCCCTCTCCTTACACTGGTCCCACAGGAGGTCTTACAGAGTGTCGTGAGCCTGAGTCTCATCCTGCGTCGCCTGTTCGTACTGCTCGCACTGGTCGTCGTGTCCCACGTGAGCGTCCTCCTCCTGTCTCTGGCACTCACTACATGACTCTGCGTCCCTCCACTGCTCCTCAGCGTGTCCCGCTGCCGTCTCCTCCTGCGTCCTCTCTGCCTACTCTTCCTGATCCGGAGTCTGACTCCCGTCGTGCTGCCAGTCCCACTGACACCCGTCTCCTCGCTACTGTTGTCACTGACCCTACCTTTGAGTCCTCTACTGCGTCTGCTCTGGTCGCTGAGTTGATCGACTTTGCTGCCCGGTGTCGTCTAGACTACGCCACTAGCCTTGTTGCTGAGTCTGAGTCTGAGTCTGTCTGTCCTCCGTCCGTCGGGGGTGAGTGTGCTCTCGGCACGGACGTCCTTGAGGACAGACAGGAGGAGTTCCAGTGCTTTGCTGCTGCTTTACCCCACCTCGTGTCCATGCTAGTTGCCCCTGAGGGAGACCCGGATGCACCAGACATCCCGACCCCGCGCACTTACGCTGAGGCGATGGCGGGTCCCTACTCCTCTCAGTGGCAGACAGCCATGGACGCAGAGATGGCTTCCTGGAAGTCCACAGGCACCTACGTCGACGAGGTTCCCCCACCTGGGGCGAACATCGTCAGTGGCATGTGGATTTTCAGGGTGAAGCGGCCGCCGGGTTCTCCTCCTGTCTTCAAGGCGCGCTACGTGGCTCGAGGCTTCAGTCAGCGAGAGGGAGTTGACTTCTTTCAGACCTTCTCCCCCACCCCGAAGATGACCACTCTTCGGGTGCTGCTGCACATAGCCGCTCAGCGCGACTACGAGCTTCACTCACTTGACTTCAGCACTGCTTTCTTGCAGGGCAGCCTGCACGAGGAGATCTGGCTGCGCCGCCCTCCTGGCTTCACTGGGTCGGTTCCTCCTGGTACCCAGTGGAGGCTTCAGCGGCCGGTCTACGGTCTCCGCCAGGCACCGCGTGAGTGGCACGACACACTGAGGACGACACTTGCGGCTCTTGGGTTCGCTCCCTCTACTGCTGACCCGTCACTGTTTCTACGCACAGACACCTCACTGCCGCCGTTCTACATCCTCGTGTACGTCGACGACTTGGTCTTTGCCACTGCTGACACCGCGGCACTCGCCCACGTGAAGTCGGAGCTGCAGAGGAGACACACGTGCACAGACCTGGGTGAACTGACAAGCTATCTTGGCTTGCGGATCACCCGGGACAGAGCACGGCGCACCATCACCTTGACTCAGTCACACATGGTGCAGCAGATCCTTCAGCGCTTCCGCTTCACGTACTCCTCGCCTCAGTCCACTCCTCTGCCTACCGGTCACTCGCTCTCAGCTCTGCCTTCGGATGAGTCCGTAGAGCCGAGTGGCCCGTATCCAGAGCTTGTGGGCTGCCTCATGTACCTGATGACCTGGACTCGACCTGACCTTGCATACCCTCTTAGCATCCTTGCGCGCTATATCGCTCCTGGCCGACACAGGAAGGAGCACATGGATGCCGCTAAGAGGGTGTTGCGCTACTTGTGCAGTACGTCGGGCATGGGGCTTGTGCTTGGAGGGCGAGACCGAGTTGTTCTCACAGGGCACTCAGACGCTTCTTGGGCAGACGACCAGGCCACTCACCGGTCGTCTCAGGGTTACACCTTCAGCCTTGGCTCTGGCTCAGTTTCTTGGCGCTCTACGCGCTCTTCTTCTGTTCTCGGCTCCAGTTGTGAGGCTGAGATCTACGCCACAGCCATGGCTGCTCAGGAGCTACGCTGGCTGACCTACCTGCTGACCGACCTCGGAGAGCGGCCTCGTTCTCCTCCAGTGCTGTACGTCGACAACCAGGCTGCCATTGCCTTGTGTGAGGAGCACAGACTGAAGCACAGAACGAAGCACATCGCCCTGCGGTACTTCCTTGCTCGAGAGCTGCAGCAGCGTGGTCAGCTTCGTCTGCGTTACGTGGCCACTGAGGCCAACCTTGCTGATGTGTTCACCAAGGCACTTCAGCCTTGTGATCATCAGCGTTTCTGTACTCTTCTAGGCCTTGTGCCTGCTGGACCTCACTTACTTACTTCTTGACTCTGCTTGTACTGTGATCTTTATATATATGCCTGCATGTTTACACTTGCTAGGTTGTGATCACTGTATCTCTTGTTATATTATCATCCTGCATGTGAACTGGTCTTGTGACCACTTGCTTGTGCTCGGAATTTGTGTGGTATCCTTGAGATCCACCCTGAGCTTGTTTTGCTTTGCTTTGACTGGTCTTGTGACCCCTTTCTCTCCCCCACTTTGCCTATGGCGGTGTGTCAAACATTATATATGTTGTGTTTGTTTAGGCTACAGTGGGTTAGCCTATAGGGGGTACACAATTCTAGGGTTAGGTACTTGTACTGATTTCACTGTTAGTTCAATCATTCCTGTCCGTTCATTCTGACATCAACCTCAACGGCTACGTGGACGCTGACCATGCCGCTGACCCAACAAATCGACGGTCCCGAACCGGCTTCGTTTTTCGCCTGGAGCCAACTGGCCCCATCTCCTGGAACTCGCAGAAGCAGGAACTGGTTGCCCTGTCATCGGCCGAAGCTGAATACATCGCCGCGACAGCAGCAGTTCGCGAAGGTCTGTACCTGCAGGAGCTGTTACAGGAGGCGAAAATTCCAACCTCGCCTACCTTTCGCCTGCAGTGCGACAACCATAGCGCGATCAAGATCGCGAACAAGCCCGGGTTCGTGAACCGCACGAAGCACATCGCACTACGGTACTTCTTCGTCAAGGACGAAATCGACCAGGGTAAAGTTGACCTCGCTTACTGCCCAACCACTGAGATGGCAGCCGACTTTCTCACCAAGCGTCTGCCACGTCAGCAGTTCAAGCACTGCTCCGACCTCACCGGAGTGGTAAAGCGAGTCAGCATCCCTCGCGTCTAGGAATGAAGTGGAGTGTTACGATATGAAGCTTTATGAGAAGGCATTCCTGCATGCTGCAGGAGCTGACTCTACCGAGTACGATGTCGAGGAGTCAGAAGAGTCGAAGCGACACAGCAACCGTCTGACTAAGGCCGATGCAGGCAGGAGCATTTGAAGTGAAAAGAGCGGGAACAGGTTTGAAACTGATTCCCGCGCCGCACGGTTTAAATTTCGCTGCAATAAGGGAATGTACCCCTTAGAGTACATGGCTAGTCTAGGTCGTTTCGCATTCCTTTGTATTTCTATATAAACCCAATGTATGCATGCTATTATCAATCTCAGTCATTTACATTCACTCTGACCTGAGTTCACTACTTCCGCTGCGACACTACCTGCGATCAACCCTGAACGATCCTTTCGGACAAATCTCACTTCAGATTCTAACAGAGGGGGCGCGCTGTATGCCCTCGACGTAGGGGGTGCGCGGCTGTGTAGACGAGGGAAAGTGGGTGGGGATTGATAATGGGTGATCAGCAACAAAACCGTGCTGATCCATGTGGAGGACAGGACAGAATTGAGGGACCACTGATTGAAAGAATTCTGAGGACATACAAATTCGGGTTCTATATAACATCCTAACACCTTTGTAGCACAACCCAGCTAACCTACAAAGTACACATCTCAAGGTGAGGAATCAATTATTTTACACGGTCTCAAAATCAAAGTGGAGTGTAACATCGGTGAAGTTTTGCAATTCGAAAGTTTCAGCAATAAACGGCAGCACAATCAGCTCGAGCTGGCAGGGACACATTTCGCTGGTCTGCAGAACTGACTACGTTGTTTGCATGCATGGCGGCTGGTCCTTAGCATTTCCTGCTCAAACTCCCCACGTGTCGCTTGTCTTTCGCTGTCCACGTCTCTTATGCATGCATATGCGACGCGATATCACAAAAATTCGCAGTTATTCGCCATGGAAACCCGGGTCGCTTGTTTGCATCCCCACAGGCACTTGATCTCCTTAATTCTCACCATCTCTGTTCTGTTGTGCGTGATCTCTGTGCCAAACTTTCTTGCTTCTTTGTTTCTTAATCGTCCTTCTCGCCGTCGTCCCCTTACTGCACCCATGAATGCGTCAGCACTCCTTGTCCCGACGGCTCTGTTCGTCGCGCTGTCGCCTGGCTTTTTATTGCAAATCCCAGGAGACAAGGGTCCCGTAGACGTGGCTCCTAACCGGGTGCCAGCGTCGTCTGTAGTGGTTCATGCGGCGGTTTTTGCGGCAGCAAATTATGGCCTTCAAACTATGAAGAAAATGCCCAAGTGACTTGTGCATGGAGGGTTGGCTGATGGCATTTCAAGCTGCTGCAGATTCAGCATGTAGGGGTACTTAGTGTTACTGCGCTGCAGACTTTTCAAATGCCTCTTTTCCTGTTAAGAAAGAGTTGCTGGTTAACATGGCTACCTTGCTGAAAGTTGCCTTCAGTATGTAGGTGTTGGGAAGTCACTTTGTCGATGGATTATAAGAGTACTCCTATACATGCTAATGAACCAGTACTTTTGCATTAAAGGATATCACATGCGCAAGGAAGGTGCAGTCATTACAGTTGAAATTGAGAAGAACCTGCATGGAAACGAGGAACAGGAGAGCAGATTGAGCAGCAACAGATACGAAAAGAACAGTACAACTGATCAGTTACCAAAATGCAGAACGAGATGATCCATTTTTTCCACACCTACCTCTTCAATTGAGGTGGTGACGACTTAGCCGTCCGTGAAACATCTGGTTTTTTATCCTTGGCTTTCTGAGTCCTCTGAAATACCTGGCCGCCAACGCGACCTCCGCCTTCAGCTGCTTCCGCTACTTCCCCCAGCGGCGTCATCACCAGTGCCGCGAGAAGCAGAGTTACGGCGCACAGGCGAGGCAGAACATCTTGCACTTGAGACGATGTAAGCGTCTTGAGCCCAGATTCCCGTCTGCGAGGGACCAGGATGGTGGATAGGGAATAGCTGAGGCGCGGTGAGACGAGCAGACGTGCGCTACGTTCAGTGTGATAACAGGATAGTGGAGAATTCTGTACGAAGGACAATGAGACGACAGTATACTGCAGGGGTTGAAGATTGCGAGGGTTGAAGTGGTGTAACGCGGACAACCGACTCTTCCAGCGCAATTTCGAAAGCCTTACTGTCGCGTTTCTGAACCGCGAAGCAGTACAGCCAAAGCTGGGAAGACTGCTGAAAGCAACAAGAAATGTGGTATGAAGGGCCGTACTGTCGTTACCCCGTGTAAGGTTTCTCAGCGGAGACGGCAGCGCGCGTGGGGCAGAAGCAATGAAGACGTCGTGGTGGGCGGAGAGCCCGTGCTTCCCGGTGCAGCGTTACTGAGGCTCCTAAATGGGGAGCTAGAAGAGTAGCGCGAAGCGAGAACATGGTGCGGTGAGCGAGGGACGACCAGCACTCTCAGGGAATTTTGGGTGGGGCAGTGGAGTGCGAAGAAGGCAGTGGATGTGCACGGTGAGTGTGGCATCGGTTCGCCGTCATCACCGTCATGCAGCTCAAGTTCGCGAAGCTCACATTTGCTCGAACAACGAACGCGTGTTTCCTCGCCGAGGACGGCGTAGTTTCAAATTTGGAGTCGGTATTTTCCACGGAAAATTGCCCGCAAAGTGAAATGACCCACATGATACGGGGGTTGAATCTCTGGTAGTGCGTGATGCAATCTAAAAAAACGGGCCCTTCAGGTCACCCCGAAAGGCCCGGAAGTCTTGATTCTAGGCTGGATTCAGACCGCTTTATGAAATGCTTTGAGTTGTGCGCTCTTCAAAACCTTATCAGACACCCTAAGGTAGAACATATCACATGAGTTTGGGAACACAGGTCACATATTTATCATACAAGATATTATGCATGTTCTTGACCTCATGACTGTTTCCCCACGCACTCTCTGCTGTGCGTGCACTGAAGGCATCAACAAGCTTAACTATCATGCAACAGATTACCGTACCACGCAGCTGCCATAGTAAAAAGCACTTCTCGTATAAGAATAACGCGCACGCTTGCTATATAACTGGTGCAGTGCATATGGTAGAACTTGCAAGCTGTAGAAGTACCATGACTTGCATGCGCATACATCAATCACATGGGTTAAAATCTCACGAGAAAACAGACTCCATTTTCCCCACTGGCGAGGGAGCAGTGAGCTCCACAATCTCCCCTGAACGCCCACCATAGAAGTCCAGGCCAGATGGTTTGGGACGCGCTTGTAGCTCTCTGTGCTCTTGGCAGAGGGCGCAGGGGTGGCAGAGGAAGTGTGTCGGACAATCACCAGCGGGCTCAGCCTGCCAGTGAGGAGATGGCACGTCGCACAGGAGTGGATAAGGTTTGAAGAGGGTTTCATTAGCTCCCAGGGAAACAATGCGTACAAATAATGTATGCTCAGTGGTGCAACAGCTCCATAAACTTCACATGTGGGAACGATGTCTCTAGAACCTGAAGTAACCAAGGCGTGAGAGCATGAAGCCATACCGGCTGGCTCGAGAACAAGCGGAACAAGCACAATGTAACAAGTAAGGAGGCAAGCGGAACTGCATGGCAAGGAGCAAGCACCTTTAGGTGATACTTTGCTCGAAGCTCCGAGCGGTAGTTGCAGGCATAGCAGGAGATGGGCGTGCACCAGAAGGCAGCGGGGCCGAGAGTGCTGTACGCTGCCCACACAATGCACCCGCCCAGCAGACAGTGCATCACACATGGGCCAAAACACTGCCGCCCATGCAGCCGTTGCACGTTCTGAGGGGTGGAGGGATGGGCGAGAGAGAGTGGCGTGAGAGAAGAAGGAAGAGGGAGGGACGAGGAGGAATGGAAGCAAGCAACAGCGACAGTTACAAGTGGAGTAGGATAAGTACTAGTGGGCAAAATTGGAATAAGGGCATGACCGGATAAGGCTAAAGGGCAGCAGAAAAAGAGAGTCTAGGTCAGGAGGGGCTGTGTCAAAACTCAGCAGAAAAAACAAACTGCATCCAAGAGGTGGGTTGCGGGAGGTGAGGGATGGCCGTTGGTGACTGGAGGACAAGCGTGAGTGCGTTGCTAGGGGTTCGCAGGAGCTGCAATGCAGGCGAGTGGAGCTGAAGAGCTGAGGTGGAAGGGCGGCGGAAGGGCGGTGGAAAGAAAGGCAACGGGAGGGGACCACGAGGTGCAAGGGAGGCTGGAGAGGTGAAAGCAGCAGAGAGGGAGGGGGGGGGGAGAACGAGGCACGGATGGAGCTCACCTGGCCGAACAGCACGCAGGGGCAGAAGCAACCCAGGTAACCTGCGCAAGGGGAGTCGGGACACCGGGATAGAAAGGTTTATGCGTCTGACGGAAGTGCCGATGTGGGGAGCTGCAGGTTGCCATGAGGGGGAGGAGCAGAAGGGGAAGGTGGGGAGGGGAGTTGTTTTATCTTTCTGCTGTATGCGGGAAGGCGAGATACGGTGGGCGTGACACTGGGCGAGGCTACGAACCACGCATGTTCCGCGCAGCGGCATCTAACGGGAATGGAGGGGCGTGGATGCACTGGATGCGCACACGTGGCATTGCCGAGCGTGGCTTTACGGAGAGTGGCATTGCAAGCCACGTCACGATGGAGCTGGCGTTGCGATCATAAAACGCGCGTGCGACGAAAAAGGACTAGGAAGTGTCGCGGCGCTGAGAATAGTCAAGGCGGATAAGTGGCTCAAACTCGACTCAGAAGCTGGGCTGGCGGAGAGATATCTTTCGCAACTTACAATGCGCCATCTCCAACAGTGGGGAGGTGTGCACTCCATGTAATGCAAGCGAACACAATTTTCCATTTCCACGCGGCTGCTCAATGCGACCTAAAGCTTCCGAGTAGCAGCGTCCTACTGCACCACACTCACAGCTCTTGGGGTCACTCGAACAGTCGAGTAGGTTCGTGCTCCACGGCGCGCCGCCATTCCCGCCACTCTCATCCGCATCCATCGCAGCGCCCCCGTCACCCGTCACCTGCCAACCGCCACTTGCCACCTGTCACCTGTCACCTGTCACGCGACGCCTGACAGCTGCCACGTGGCCCTTTACGCTACTCCTTTCACCGATTACTTCAAGCCTTCGCCTTCGCCCGTCGTCTGACCTGTCGCAAACGATGTCACCGTTGCCAGACAAATAACGCACCGCTGATTTGCCTTTTTAACTTCCGGTGGTCTATCGTTCTGTGAGCCGCACGATTTTAGGAGACGAATGGCCTTGGAACAATGCTTTGAAAAGAAACCACTTGAATGGTCGGAAGGAGAACCGCGTGTCTGCCTATTGCCTAGTTTCTAACTTATTACTTCTCAATACCACGAGCACCAAAATTACAGTTGAGATCTGGTCTGTTGACTGCAGTGAATGCGAAGCCTCTCGCCCACGAGGCGACGTTTGCGATGCTGGAAGCTCCGAATGAATCTCATGCGACTATTGGCGAATCCAATAGCGACAGAGTTTCAGGCATTCAGGCAGGTGGTGGAGCAGGTGGAAGGGTTGATTGGTTGGGCGACGACGACCCGAAATAACCGGAGGTGGATGAAAAGCGACGAATAGGCGAAGTGCAGACGTGCTTTCAGAAAGGCGTACAAGCGGAGTGGTGTGGTTCCGCAAAAAGTGACCCGCTACCCAGCCGAATGAGGACCTTCCGTGAATTCAATTTATCGGCGTTCATACAGGTGAGCAGCGGTTTGAAGCAGCGACGCTTGACATGACATACTGTTTACAATTGCGCATCGTCTCATCCAAGCGCGAACTCTCCAGTCTTGGTTAAACTGAGCTAAATAACACAGCAAGCAGACTTCCATTTGCATACATGCCCACAGGTCATATGTTGCAGCTAACAAGGTTAAAATAAGAGTCCCCTTGAGAAAATTCTGCATCTAACATGAGGCATACGGATCTATTTTTTTTCATGGGTTTGCTGAGTTCCCAGACCATGGATAAAGAGTGGGGAGTCCTCAGTGTACACTGTTGTCTCCATTGCACATCTGTAAGGAAGCAAAGGTAATGGGGGTTGGAAAAGAATGCCAAATGTGCATAACTACCCACTGGACTCAACAAACCCTCCAAATGCTGCGTTCAAGGTGCACGCCAGTGGCAGCAGAGACCAAGCAACAAGTACATTGACAAAAGAAGAGCACCATCCACAAAACCAACTTAAAACCTGGAATAGATTGAATCACATAAATTGACTGCACGACTTCGATTGACTCAGCGTGGATCCAATTAACTCTACTCATTGTGCATCAACTCTGCTCCATTCTAACTGACTGTCCGGCTTTAATTGACTCTGCCCGACTTTGACTGGCTCTGCTCAGATTGACTCTGCCTGACTCTAATTGCCTTTGCCCAGGGCTGATTGACTCTGCCCAACTCTGATTGACTCCGCCCAACTCTAATCAACTCTGCCCGACTCAGATCATGTCTGCCAGTCTCACTGGTTACGCAGGTGCTTGTTGAGGGACGCCACAGCCAGCATGGTGGAACCATCCAGGAAGCGCAGCTCGCCGTCCACGCGCTGCTGTATCCTCGCGTCCACGTCAGCAGCCGCCATCTCCGGGAACGGCGTGTCTGACGCCTGAAACGGGGAAAGAGGGCACGGGTGGGTGGGTGCGGGAAAAGTGGGGAAGCGAGGGGGGGATGAGAAGAGAAGGGTCGATGATATTGGGTGGTTGCCGTAACAGGTCAGGGATGGGTTTTCCTTGAAACAGGTGGGGCAAGTGGAGCAATGATGGCAGGTATAGCGAAGGATGCATAATCTATTACAGCTATCATAGTGGTTAAAAATGTTGGACATGGGTTGAATAATGTGATTGTCGTAAATGGTTATTAATAGCGGATTGTGTGTGGCATGTGCCTGGAAAGCTTATGTTGCAGCACCATGAAGCAAAGAGTTTATGGAGGGCGTAATTAGGAGGCTCAATGCATACAAGTAGAAGTAAATTAGCAGGACACTGGCAGGATGAAAGGGGCGGGAGAGAGTGAGAAGGGTAGGAGGGGTTACCATAATCCATCCCCATGTGTCAGCATATGATGGCACGTGCGCCGCATATGGCACCACATCTGCTCACACACAGGCGCCAAATAACCACGCACCACACTAAACCCTCAAAAGAGCGAACAAGTTTGGAAGCGGGTGGGTACAAATTGCACTCCTGTTGCATCTCTGTGTAAGTGACGACAGGCGGCAACAGCGCCAGCGGTGGCAGCAGCAGCAGCAGCGGCAGTGGTGGCAGCAGCAGCAGCGGCGGCAGTGGTGGCAGCAGCAGCAGTGAGACCCACTGCAGCAACAGAGCCATGATGCAGCCATCAGCACACACACGCTGCTCCCTCCCTCGAATCATCACACCCACGGCTGCTTATCACACCCCCCCCACGTGCCACCACATACTCGTATGTGCCCAAAATCCCCCCCAGCTCACACCCCCTCTCCCCCACACTCACACACCCCCAACTCAGAACCCCCCCCTCTCTTCTCCACTCCATGCTCCCATCCACCACCAACCCACATCCCCTCTCCCCTTCACCACTCCCCTCAAACCTCCCACCTCTCACCCCAACCAACTTCCCTCCACCACTCACATTTGAACACCTGGCGCAGCGTGTTATAAATCGGAGTGTACACCTCCCGCGCCGACAGGATCCCCGCCGGGCCGGCCTGCGTGACGAGAATGCCCCCGGGGTTGAGGCGCGGCTTGAGCAGCGTCGTGTAGAAGGACTCCGTGTAGAGCTTGTAGCAGGGCCCGCCGTCCACGGGGTCTGCCAGGTCGCCTATTATCACGTCGTAGCCCTCCTCGCCCGTGCGACTCCTCAGCTCCTCTCTGGTGGGGGAGGAGGGAGGGTAATGGGGGAGGACGAAAAGAGGGGAGGAGAGGGGAGGAGTGGGGGGGGAGGAGAGGAGGAGGAGGGGGGAGAATGGATTGGAAGCGGGGGAAAAGGCGACATCAGTAGGGGGCCTTGTAGGAGGGCCCGCCGTCCACAGGGTCTGCCAGGTCGCCTATTATCACGTCGTAGCCCTCCTCGCCCGTGCGACTCCGCAGCTCCTCACTGGTAGTGGGGGAGGGGCGGGAGGGGGCGGGAGGGGACGGGGGGAGAAGGTGAGGGATGAGTTGGGGAGGAGAGTAGGTGTAATGTGGAGGGAAGGGATGTGAAGGGTTTTGGGTGGGTAAGTTGATGGGAGGGGGGAGGGGGGTTCAAAGAGGGAGGGAAGGAGATGGCCAGGGGTATGGGAATGATGTGACATGCACGAATCTTTACAGGTGTATAGGGGAGGGGAAGGTTCTGCCCCGTTAGTGACGGTGGCGAGGTAGGGATTGTTCAGTCCACCATGTGTAGTGTGACGAGAAGGTTCTTTCATTGGAAACAGGTTGTGTGTGTGAGGTGTGTGGAAGTGGGTAAGGGCATCAGGGAAAAGGTGTGGGAAGGGTAGTGTTGTGGGTGGGGGGGGGGGGGGGTGTTTGGCTGGGTGTGGCAGTCGGAGGAAGGGCAGGTGCACGGGAGCAGAGCAAAGCAGGCGAGCAGGCAAGCAAGAAAGGACGGGCAATAGAAGGCACTGACAGGGCGTCGTTGATGATGAGCTTGAGGCGCGGCGAGGCAAAGGTGTCGCGGTTGATGGTCAGATGGCGCCGACAGAACTCCACCACCTCCTGCCATGGCGAACCGCGGGCACGTGAACGGGCAGGTGAACGGGCAGGGAAGGTGAACGTAGGGAATATGAGGACACGGGAGGAGGGGACGGAGGGTGCGGGATGGTGGGGAGGAAGGGGGAGAGGTGTGAGCGGGAGTGGGAGGAAGAAGGGAAGCGGCATGGGGGGTTAGCAGTGGGAGGAGCAACAGAGGAGGCAGGTTGAAAGGGAATGATGCCTAGCAGGGACGGACGTGTTCGCGGCGACTACTACGGCCGTTGGAGTCAGAGGAGGAGGTGAGGGGAGTTGGGAGGAAGGCAAGGGGGAAGGAGAGGGGAAGGGAGTGGGAGGGGGTAGCGGGATAGGGGAGGAGGACAGGAAGGGAAGTGGGTATGGGAGTGTGTGTGGATGAAGGTGCGTGTGTATGTGGTAGTGGCGAGGCGGTGGGCGGGAGGAAGACGGGGGACAACTTCTGTTTTTTATGAATCATTTTGAGCGGGTGTGAACGGGAGTGAGCGGGCGTGTGAGAGACTGAGAGACTGACCTTGTCGATGTCGCACATCTCGAGCATCTCCACGCTGCTGTGCTTTAGACACTCGCGCGCTGTCGACCCCTCGCCGCCCCCCATGATGAACACGCGCTTCGGCCTGCCATGCGCGCACACCCGCACCCGCACCCGCACATTCGCGCACTCAGACGCATGATGCCACGCAAGCACATAACACGCCCGCAGGTGCACACCCATGGACGCACATACACGCGCAGAGGCAACGGTAAGAGGCCATCACTCGGAACAGTCACGGTCGATATCCCACCCATCGCGGAGTCCGCCACTGCAGTGCGGTGCGATCCCCCACTCCCACCATCCCCACTAAAACACATCTAGGCGGTAAACCCGAAACCCCGGCAACACCCAACGACCGGGGCTCCGGACCGGAAGAAAAATGTGCGCGAAAAGCTTAAGAATATGTTAGAATGCCATTCTTCATGAGCGTGTTGATTGGCTAATGGTGGCCTGAGAGCAGGCAGGAGCGACTACAGACCTACGCGCGCCGCGCATACGAGCAACGGCGCGGCGAGCGCGCGCGGGGGGTGCACGTACTGCGGGTGGTAGAGCAGCGCGGGGTGCACGAGCGACTCGTGGTACACGAACTCGTCCGCCTCCGCGCTCTGCAGCTTGCCGTCCAGCACCAGCACCTGCTCTCCGCGCGCCGCGCGCCACGCGCCACGCGCCGCACGGGGAGAGAGGGAGGAGTGAGTGAACGGGGGGAGTGAAATGGTCAGTGAAACGAGGCGGGGACCGAACGGAGAGTGGAACAGTGGGTCGGCGGAATGCCGGGAGATGGAAGAAGAAAGCACGCGCGCGGAATGCAAGCAGCCGCCAAGACGAAAGCAACAGCAGACCGTTTCGCTACGCGGACAGCAGACCGCGCACCGACCGTGGCCGACATTGTGCCACCGCGACTCGCAGATGCGGACGCCGTAAGAAGCGCCGCTTACCTTGCCGAAGGGGCCGCTTTCCAGCAGCTCGATGTCTTGAAACTCGCTCACCCCCGTGTGGAGAATGCTGGTGGACGTGAGAGGGCAAGAGAGGGATCGACGCGGGAGTATGTTGGGCGTGAGCTATTTGTTAGCGGGGCGGTTACAGTCAGGGCGGAATGGGTAGGTGTTCACACAAGGGCGGGCGGTACACGATGGGACAGTAGGGCGCTTGATGCGGGATGGAAGTTGAATGGTAAACTGGCGCTTGAGCTAAGTTCGGAAAATCGGGAAATGCAGGCCCTTGCAAGGTCAAGGGACATGACGGGACAGCAGGATGAAGGCCCGACCTGACGACATTCGACCTTTAAAATGCTGCTACTATCTCGAGCGACGCGAAAGGTGCTTCCTGTAAAAAAATACCCTTAAAAAAAAATCATGTTGAAGTGCTTCTGGAAAGGGACTGAAACGTACTTAGTGACGCCGAAGACCCATCTGAGATTCTCCTCAATCTCCTCCTCGAACCACATCCGCACCCGCCCCGACCCCGCCGGGCCCCCTCTCTTGCACCCCGACTCGCACCGCTGCTCGCACTGACAGTCGCACATGCCGCCTGTGCCGGCCACGGTAGCCATTTTAACGGGTGATCGCGTGCAAAGCCGTTAAGTCTGATCGGCTAAGTTCGGCGGCGGTGTGGTACGTACTAGACCCGAAATCAGCTCCCACGGAAGAAAGGGGAGAGGAGAATGGGCTTGATGGGACGGCGCAATAGAAAGGAATGGGGGAGAGTGGAAAGAAAGAGAGCGCAAGCACAGACTCAGGAAATCGACCCAGCAGCTAGGGGTAACGGCCGGGTCGGGGACAACGAAAGGAAGGGGGCGGCGGGGTTTTGGAGGGAGAGAGATGTGGGGTACTGGGGAAGGAAGAGAGATGGGTGGTCATCAGGTGACTGGTCAGTCATGCACAGAAGTAGTCAAACAGACCGCGGATGTTGGGGGAAAACCAACCGCGAAATTTTCACACCACTCGAATCACGGGCAGCGATCTCAGAGGCAAATCTTCCCCTTTCCTTCCAAAACTGAGGGTCTCGAAGTTTCATACCCTCATGTCCCGTTCGACCGAGACATTCAACATCATCCATAAGAGTCAGTATCGAAGCAAAAACTCGACTTTGATATTCTTTCCAGAGACACCCAGTTCCAAAAACTCATGAAACGGTGATCGTCCCCCATGGGGTCAATCACGACAGCACCGTTGCTTAACCTCTGGAATTCTTTTGTAGCACCCGAGGACACTATGTTTTTTTCCTTGTGTTGATGCGTGGAGGGGGAAACACAATGATCGAGCGGCACCGCTCCGACCCGCAAGGCTAGTGGCTGTGGGAAGAATGGAAGGTCTGGTTTGACAATTTGGAAGGTCCACATGGCACGGACTGAGTGGCTAATCGTGAGATAACGTGGGTCACACATACTTCTTTGGCGGCTGTGACGTGAAACCGCTTCTCCTGGAACCTTTCAAACGGGGTGTAAGGAATTTCGCTAATTCCTTACTGAGGCTGTTCTTACGCGTACAATTCCAACCTTCGGAATTCAGGCTCGATCCGACGACCTCGCCTTCCGAACGTCAACCGCGTCGCCTTCGGGTTTTCCAACCCCAAACCTGCACCCAACCTTCGCGCGACTCCGCGACCTCGGCCTAGCTAGCTTTGCTATATTGTGCCTAGGCTGTTGGAGGTTGCGTGTGGGGGGGGGTTTGCCCCCAACCACCGAATGTGTTGCTTCCGAATGTGTTCATTGCAGGTTTCGTGAAGTTGTGGGTTGACTTTGGAAGACCCACTCAAGTGATGCCACATGGCAGCATCAGGAAGAATCGATGTTGAAGAGAAATTGAAATTCGGGTACCGAATTTCACCCCTTCGAATTTGTTACGCGAATGTTCGCGATACACCTCGTAGTGCCTAGAATGTTACATGTGCGATTCGAGAAATTCCAGTTGCTATAAATGTGCTCGACGTGTATGCATGTTTCATACTGAAAAACAGAGTTCATTGTACACAGTGCAATTCGACCAAAATTCAGAGAGCTCCTATCGGCGACTTTGGGGTCTCTTCGATGGAACGGAGAAAAAGCCGACGGACGACGAGAGCGCCATCGCGGCATGGAAGAAGAAGGACCAAAAGGCGTTCGCTACGCTAATCTCGCGGATCGGCATCAACCTCGTGAGTTCGGTGCGCACATGCATCAAGCTCGAAGCGTCGGCGCATGAAGCGTGGAAACGGCTCGAGACAATGCACGTGAACAAGACTCTCCACGGCAGGATCCTAGCCCGGAACGCGTTCTACACGGTGAAGTTGCGCGCGGGCGAATCGATGCACGAGTATGCGACTCGTGTGGAGGAACTCGGGGAAACATTCTTGGACCTCGGTGGAACGGTCACGGAGGAGGATTGGATTCTCACCTTGCTTTGCGGCCTTCCGGAAGAGTGGTCGACGGTGATTACGACACTCGATAGCGTGCAAGGCACTTGGACGAAGGAAATGGTGGTTGGTCGGCTTCTCCATGAGGAATCGCATCGCCGACAATTCGCTAATGAAAGCGTGGAGACCGCCATGTTCTCCAGAGGGAGTTCCGGAGGAAAGTCCAAGTGGAGCAAGGGTGCGACGAAGAAGTCGTACGGCGGAAGCGATCGCGGCAAGGGGAACACATCGAACGGCGCGAGCAAGTGCCACTATTGCGGCAAAGCGGGACACTTATGGCGAGAGTGTCGGAAGCGGCCGAGCGATTGGACTCCATCGAAGGCGTGGAACCACGAGGGCAACGCGCACACGGCATCCGGCGAGGCGGATGATACAACGGAGTCGATCGTGTTATTGGCCGGTGACGGGACCAACACTCCAAGCGACACGTGGTTCCTCGACACCGGCGCAACGCAACACATGACGCACTCGGCATCGTTCCTCACCAACGTTGGTGCACCGCGGGACGTCAAGCGTGTCGTCTTCGGGAACAACAAGTCGCTACCGGTGGTTGGAGTTGGGAGTACGCGTCTCATCGTTGATGGCGGACCGGTTGACATCACGAACGTGCTTCACGTTCCGGGGTTGAAGGTGAATCTACTCTCCGTCACTCAACTCGCGAAGAAGGACGTGAAGTTCACCATCGACGGCGAGACGATGAACCCCTTTTGGAAGGGGAAGCAATTCGCACAAGGCGTTCTCAACGGAGAACTCTACCAACTCAAGACGCACCCGGGAGTGGCTTCATCCAACGTGGCGCAAGGTTCAAAGGCGACTCTTAAGGCGTGGCATAATCGGCTTGCGCACGCCAACTACGACTCGGTCAAGGAGTTGGTCAACAAAGGACTCGCGAAGGGAGTCAACGTGATCGCCGGCGACGACGAGAAGGGCGTGTGCTCGGCGTGTGTCGAAGGAAAAATGGCTCGCAAGCCATTTGGTAGCCGTACCTCTCCCCTCGCTAAGGACCCGCTTGTGCTTGTTCACATGGATGTGTGTGGACCGATGCGAAACGCACCAAAGGGAGGAGCGCGGTTCCTCTTGGTGATGCTCGACGACGCGATACGGATGTATTGGACCCGTCTCTTGAAGGCTAAGGGAGATACGGCCAAGGCGATTCAAGAGTGGGCGCTCGAAGTTTGCGACGACGACAAGAAACGGATCAAGGTCATTCGTACCGATGGTGGCGGTGAATTCGTAGATGCGGAGCTCGAGAAATGGATGAAGAGCAAGGGCATTAAGCACGACGTCACAACACCCTACACACCCCAACAAAATGGAGCGGCGGAGCGGCTTAATCGCACATTGGTGGAAGCCGTTCGTTCTCTTCTTCAACACTCCAAGCTTGGGAGCGAGTGGTGGGGTGAGGCGAGTTCGCTAGCGGCGTGGATTCGCAACCGTTTGCCGACGAGGGTGCTCCCGGGAACGACTCCGTTCGAAGCATGGACCGGAACGAAGCCGAACCTATCCCGCCTACGCACCTTTGGGTGCCTTTGCTACTACCATGTACCGGATCCCCTTCGTCACAAGTTGCAACCAAGGCTCGTGCGGCAATCTTCTTGGGAATTGCGGCGAACGAGCGTGCGTGGCGCGTGTGGGACTTGGGTGAAAGGCGCGTCGTCACATCTCGAGACGTGGTGTTCGACGAAGACAAGTTTCCGACGAAGGAACAACCAACGCCGCAACTCACCGTCGTACTTCCCACACGAGAGGAAGATGAAGCGGTGGAGGTTCCATCGCAAGAGAAGGAAGCCGAGAATGGAGGGGGAGAGAACGAGGAGTGCGATGACGATGTCGTGGAGGTGCCACCAACCGAGGAGGCAACTTCCTCCACACCTTCTTCCCTACCATTGGCGTTGACCCGTGGGCGTCGTACACCTCGCCCCAACACGAAGTTAGCCGACTACGCTACGGTAGCCGTTGGGGAATTGGATGAGGAGCGTGCGGCATATTGCTTCGCCACCGTGAGAGATGACCCTCGCACCCACACGGAGGCTTTGGCTTCTCCGGATGCGCCGCTATGGAAGCAAGCGATGGAGAAGGAGCTAGCGTCGATCAAGGAGAATGACGTGTTCGAGCTCGTCGACCCGCCGAAGGGTGCCTACTTGGTGGGGTGCAAATGGGTGCTTAAGAAGAAGTTGGGAGCCGATGGGAGTGTCGAACGCTACAAGGCGCGGCTTGTAGCTCAAGGGTACACTCAACGGGAGGGGGAGCATTATAGTGAGACCTTCGCTCCCGTCTCCAAGGCTACAACTCTTCGAGTGTTGCTCGCGCTAGCGGCATCGCTTAACCTCGAGGTGGAGCAATTGGACGTTTGCACCGCCTTCCTCTACGGGCTTCTTACGGAAGAAGTCTACATGCGGCAACCCCCGGGGTACGATGACGATAGCGGAAGGGTGTGGAAGCTCAAGCGTACCCTCTATGGCTTGAAGCAAAGTCAGCGTGGATGGTACAAGCACATCGACGACTTTCTTCTTCAACACGGCTTCGCGCGTAGCGAGTGCGATAGCGCTTTGTACGTGTTGAAGGCGGGGTAGAAGCAATTGGTGCTTTTGCTCTACGTCGATGACTTACTCCTCTTCTTCGACTCCAAGGACCTCATTCGGGAGGTCAAGAAACGGCTAGGGGCGGAGTTTGCTATGAGGGACTTGGGGCCGGTCACGTACTACCTTGGGATGCACGTTGACCGTGACCGAGCCAACGGGACTATCCACCTCCATCAAGAGAAGTATGTGAAGGGGGTAGTGGAGAGCTTCGGCATGAGCAATAGCAAACCGGTGGGAACACCACTAGCTACGGGGTTCTCTTCCCTCACGGGAGAGGAAGAATCCACCCTCGATGAAGCCGAAGAGAAGCGGTTTCATTCGCTAGTGGGCTCGCTCATGTATGCCGCCGTTTCTACTCGTCCCGACCTCGCATACGCCGCCGGGGTGCTTGGACGAGTCGTGAGCAACCCTCATACCGAGCATGTACGCGCGGGAGGACGCGTTCTACGCTACCTCCAAGGCACACCTAACTTGGGGCTCGTGTATGAAGCCGGCCCAATTGAACTCAAGGGCTATGCGGACTCGGACTACGCGGGAGATCCGAGCACGCGCAAGAGTACCTCCGGGTACGTCTTCACCTTGCTTGGGGCAGCCGTGAGTTGGCAAAGCAAGAAGCAACCAACCGTGGCTCTAAGCTCAACGGAAGCGGAGTATATGGCACTCACGCAAGGTGCCATGGAGGCGATATGGTTACGGCGTCTTCTAGCGGAGCTTGGGCATCCTCAAACGAAGCCAACTCCTCTCTTTTGTGACAACCAAGCCGCCATAAGCCTCTCTCACAATGCCGTCCTTCACGGGCGAACCAAGCACATTGAAGTGAAGCATCACTTCATTCGTGAGGCGGTTGAGAAAGGTGAGGTCAAACTCACTTTCATAAGCACCAAAGCTCAACCCGCGGACTTCCTCACCAAACCACTCCCTAAGGATTCATTCCGTGCATGCTGTGAGCGTGTTGGATTGAACTTCTAGTGGCTTGGGTGCAAGGGGGAGTGTTGGAGGTTGCGTGTGGGGGGGGGTTTGCCCCCAACCACCGAATGTGTTGCTTCCGAATGTGTTCATTGCAGGTTTCGTGAAGTTGTGGGTTGACTTTGGAAGACCCACTCAAGTGATGCCACATGGCATCATCAGGAAGAATCGAGGTTGAAGAGAAATTCGGTTCGGTGAAATTCGGGTACCGAATTTCACCCCTTCGAATTTGTTACGCGAATGTTCGCGATACACCTCGTAGTGCCTAGAATGTTACATGTGCGATTCGAGAAATTCCAGTTGCTATAAATGTGCTCGACGTGTATGCATGTTTCATACTGAAAAACAGAGTTCATTGTACACAGTGCAATTCGACCAAAATCCAGAGAGCTCCTATCTTTGAGTCTAAGGGCACTACCTAGCACATAAACAGCTATATCTCACTCGATACTTGGGCGTTCGAGGTGATCTACGGCTCGTTGGAAAGCTACAAGAGTGCTCTACTGCTTAGTACAACCTAGAGTTCCTGTTAACTAGAGGTCACGCCTCTACATCATAGGCTTCGTTGTTCGATCAGTAGTTGTAATCACTTCCGCGATATTGCATTCTGCGCACTCTCCATTCTTACAACTCATAACACTTGGTATCAGAGCTACTTTCTTAGGTTACCCACCACTTTCCGGGGTAGTTTTAGTGCAGGGGTGCGATAGGTTTGGTGGGCTGCAAAGCGGTCGGCTGAGAGATAGACACGATTATCTCACTCCGACTAATAGCGTTTGCGCCTTCATCAAAACCATAAAAATCGCTGTTAACCCGCTGCCCGCTAGGATGAGTATCCGAAACATGACGCAGGCGGAGTTTGACGCCTTCGTGCAGGATTTTCGGGCGATGCAGGCCAACATGCTATCCATGAATGGCGAGTTGGAGCGCCTGAGGGAAGAAAACGCCGAGCTACGCCAGACGCGAGGTGAAGCGCGTCAGGAGTCGCCCGTCGTGGATGAAGCAAGTAGCAGCTCCGCACTCAACGAAAACGTGTTCGATGAGCTGGATGCCGACCAGAACGCTGAAGATGAGTGGGCAGCACGGCAGCAACAAGCACGGGAAACGCCACGACAGCAGCAACAGGAGCAACCAACGCGGAGGCAACAGTCGCCGTCAATGCCACGACAGGCACCAGCGACAACCCCGGCGATGGCCTCGGTAGCGTCCCCGATGCATGCAGCAGCAACAGTCTCAACAACTGTCAAGATAAAGCCGACGAACCCGCCCCCGTTCAACCCGAGTGACAAAACGGTCACTGTATCTGCATGGTTGTTCGGCGTGGAGGTGTTTTTCAATGCTGCGCAAATTGCTGACGATGCCACCCGAATTAATTTTGCAGTATCACTGTTGCGGGGACCAGCGTTGGAGTGGTGGAGGCGAACGCTTCAGACAGAGGGGACTCCGGCAGGGCTGTCACGTGCGAACGACGGGACCTGGACAACTGTCACGCAAAAAGCAACTTCAATCTTCGGAGTGGCCACGATACGCACATGGACGGAGTGGGGCGCCGCGCTGCGGACCAGATTCGAGCATGTATCCGCCTCGGATTCTGCCCGCATGAAGCTGCGTACCTGGAAGCAGGTGGCGTCGGTCCAAGATTACACAGCAACATTCTGCAATTCGGCTGACCAGGTGGACGACATGAGCGATGCGGAGCGACTCGACCGTTACGTCGCGGGCCTCAAATACGAAGTACAGTATGAGGTGCGACGGGCGAGGCCACGCGATTTCCTCGATGCCGTCCAGGTGGCCGAATCTACGGATGCGCTGATGCAATGGGCGAGAATGAGTTCCCGGGAGGGCACTCAATTTCGTGGACCGCCGCGCCAGCCCACAATCAACGGTGTGGAGGCGCCTAGACGTGGACCTAACACGTGCTTCAACTGCCACCAACCGGGCCACTGGAAGAAGGACTGCCCGCAGCTGAAACAGGGAAACAGGAACGACGGAGAGGGGTCGGGAAAAGTGACGAGTCAGTAGCAGTCGGGCCACCTACTGACGAGACCCCGTCGCCCGGCAATCACCATCCACACCGAGTAATGGTACCGATACGGGCTATCGACCGCAACCGGACGAATAAAGTGGATGAACACGTGGATCACCCTGTGCTGGTCGTGGGGAGGGTTAACGGACATAAAATAAAATTATTCGTTGACGGTGGGGCGAGCCACAGTCTCGTCAACCTGGCAACGGCCAAAAAAATTGGAGTCAAGCTGGACAGGTGTCTGCCCGAGATTGATGTGCGACTGGTGGACGGGACAGCGCTGGCGATCAAGGACGAGGTCCGACAAATTCGGATGAAGTGTGGCGACGATTTCGGGTTTTCGATGAAGATGCTGGCGACGACACTGGACGGTTGCGATGTGCTGCTGGGACGAGATTGGCTACAGCGATTCAATCCGACGATCGACTGGACGACGGGGGCAATCACGGTGCTGAGCAACAAGGGGCGCGTGACACTTCCGAAATGGGCGGAGCCGGAGCCGATGACAACACGTGTCAACGCAATCACGCTGACGAGGGCGATCAAACGGGGAGCGCAA